TTCCCAAGGCAAAGCAGCAGCAATGAAAGGACTGCAGGGACATTTCTTTCTTAGCTTTTACTTGCTATAGCAAATAATTTGTTCAAAGGACAAGAGGAGTGGTATTACTTCAAGAACTGTGCAACATTTGTAAACAATCAGAATTAATTTAGTTAACTTTCCAAGAAAGCTCAATAGTCAAAGTCAGTTGGAGAACACATCAGAAAACAGATTGTATAAGATGCCCAAAACTCATCTCCAGCAAAATTCAATTTGCAATGCAAGATTGATTGTCCTCCTTCAGGGGCTAATCCACCACTGATACTGTGAATGTAAGAATTACAGATTAATGGCACACATGGAATTTCAAGTAATTCTTACCATCCAGAATGAAAGCACAGGTCTCATCACCCAAGAACATAGTAAAAACACTCTGGTGCACAAGCAGCACCTGTATGGACCTTTAAAAGCTTTGTCCAGTCCTAAACAAAATGGTTGAGGGTGGTGAAGGTCAGCATAAACATAGGAGACAAATATCCCCCACTTTTCCAGTTGGCCAAGGTAAGACAGCTGTCAAGCCTTTCACCTAATAACAATTAATTAAATACCAAGACTCTGACTCCCTGGAACAGAAGCAAATGTACCTACACATGTGGAAACCTAAGCCAAATTTATCTGTCTGAATTCAATTCTGTCCTATCTTGTGATGGGGGAGCCCTCTCTACCCAAAACCAGCAGATTTGGAGAGCTTTTGGGAAATTCAGATGCAAGAAGCACATGCTGAAAAACAGAACTGAACATCTCAAAAACACTACATCAAGAATCCGAACAAGTCAAAGAATGCACTAAAGCTCACGTCAGGTATTGAAAAAGTATGTGCAAGGCTACACATACATTGATAATACATCACTCATATGAAAAAAAAAAAAAGCCACCCACACATACAATACCTGCACTTGCATGAGATCTTTAACTGAAAGATCTTAAAATGCATTTTAAAGAGTACGGATGCACACATTAAGAGCAGGGAGTTAAGATTAATCAATTTTCCCTACCGCAAACAGCATACTGTTTTACTCAATAACCCTACACGTAAGAAAAGAAACAAATGTCATGAACGGACAGAACTCTCCAAAATTATCAGGGTTTTTTTTTTTTGACCCAGTAACACAATATTAGATCACCTGCTTCTTTTGAAGGTAAATCTGAAAAGCCAGGTGTGCAAGTGTCCACAAATATTTTTGAATTATGGAAATGAAATAATACATAAAATTAGGTACTGCCTCAACAGTTTCAGAAACCAGAATTTTATGACCAAAACAGAAAAAAAGAGAAAGAAAGTTTGACTCCAGCACCAAAATGTTCAGTCTGACAGGTACATAAATAGATTTACTACAGTAACTTAAAGAGAAGGTCCCTGGTTTGCCCAGGTGACTGCTATCTACAAACCAGTTACTCAGTACTGCCATCACACTGGCTATATATAGTTTTGGCCTTTTTTTTTTTTTATTATTTTTTTGGTTGGTTTGTTGTTTTTTTTTCCTTGGAGGGGGGAAGGGGGAAAGACAGCATGGAAACTTTGCATTTGCCTGTCCATATGTTGATTATTTTTTTTTTTAGTGATGGTGGGTTTTCTGTTTTCTTTTGTTGTTGTTTTTTCTAAGTGCAGTTGTAGTTCTTACCATCTTGGCACTGAAATGGCCATGAGCAAGCTCTCCTACAAAAGTAAGCTTCTTGGGTTGTGATTGCTGAAGAAGATGCTTTTTTACTCCTTCTATGGCTCTCATATAGTCTTCCAAGAGTCTGTGAATTAAAATCATTCCCAGTTGTCTCACATACATGCAGTCAGAACACATTTAATCATAGCTGATGCTCAGCACAATCCTTTTGGAGACCATTATTTTAGTCTAAAGAACAATATTTAGCCAAATGTGAAAACATGACAAAAAAAACCCTCAGTCACCATCAAGTGGACGTTAATTAGTTACTGCTACCATGTAGCAATATTTGGTTTATTTTTCAAGTAAACCCTACATTTAAGTAATAAAGAAAACACACTCCCCAGGTTTGTTCCTAGGCAGTAACGAGATTTTATTTCAGGAATCTTTAGAAGTACAGTAGTTGAAGTCACAGAAAATCTAGCCTGGTAAGGACCTCTTGGAGGTATCTACTTCAACCCTCTGCTCTGAAGCAGATTCAATTAGATCAGGTTGCCTGAGGGCTTATCCAAGCAATTTTTTAGTATCTCCGCCCAAAGATGGAGATTCAATGACTTTGAGCAATCTTTTCCAATGTTTGACCACTCTCATTATGAAACATTGTTTCACAGCATTTAATTGGAATTTCCCTTGTTTCAAAGTACTTTTATGTGGAAAAAACCCTGTTGAATAATTCCATTTTGAGGCTTACACAAACATGGTCCCAAAGACAACAGTTCTCTGTTTACAGCAAGGTATAGCTTCGAAAAAGCAGTGATGCAAACTTTCTTTGTAGAGATGCACCTGCTCTGATATAAAGAAATGCCTCAGACAGGCACATTGTCACTCTGTATACATTAAAGCCCTTAACATGAGTAAGTCCAACATAATTAGCTTATAAGCAGACAAAAACCGCTTGGATTTTTTGTCTTGTTTTGGAAGAAACATTATTTTCCACATCTCTAATTCCTCTGCTCCTTGCAAACATTCTCTTCGACTTATGTTTCTCTTATCTGCACTGGATAAGAGACCTAAAGCAAAGTTTACACAAACATCAAACTTCAGTCTCCTCTTCTTTTTAAGAAAAATTATTTCTTATGGATTAAATTTCCCACCTCAATCATCTTGTAGGATTCTCCTTTCTGTAACAAACCCAGAGAAAACACAGACATCACTGGTAAAATGAACTACCGTCAGTATTTCAGAAGTGTCTAATTATGCTCCATATTTACTGCAAAGACTTAATTCTCTTCTCCTGTCTGTAACACTCCTCACATCTCATGTGCTGAGGAAGAAAAGTTTTCTGAGGAGGAGAAGTTTTGAGACTAAGCCTAACTTTCATGCTGTTTTTACATGCAGTTACTACAGGTCCCTCTTGCTTGCTTAGATTGCTTTTAAAAACAGTGATATTTTCAGTAGACTGTTGGGCACGCACATTATTTTTCTTTAAGCAAACTACAACAGAAAGTTTTACAGCTCATATAATTCTCATACCAATATAAGAAATGGAAAGAACTTACTCATTTTCTTTTTTCCCACCCTGAATCCATTGCTTGAGTAAATACTCATAGTAGCTGTCAGCTCTGGCTCCCAGAGTATAGACACCCAAGTGAGTGAACTGCCCACTATTGGTGTTTATGAACATAGGCACTAGTCCATCATTTTTCCCTGAGAGGGTGTGAACATGCTTCATCACCTCATCTACAGCTTTCTAAAAGAAAGAAAACAGCAAACATAAATTACAGGTATCAATGACACACAAAACTGTGGCTAGTAACTTCAGGCCGCTAACAAATCTTTACCTATTCTTCCTCAAATTAGCATCAGGGACATCAAGTTCAGCTTGTGCAATATATTAAATACATGATGTCAAACTTTCTGACTTTCAAAACATGATGTTCTGGGTACATTTAAGTACTATGAAATAACTATTTCCTTTCCTTCAAGTAAGCCCGCTTCACTATGATCTGACTTAGACGTATTTGCAAAGTAGAAGTCCAGCTAAAATAACAACTACATGAATCATGCAACAGCTAAAACTTCTTTAAGTAACTGCACTCTTCAAAACTTGAGCTGCAGATACAGTTTAAAACAATAAAACAACATCACCAAACAAAAAGAGTGGAAAATATTCTTTTCTCTGTCATTATTTTCATTTCAACTAACTTTTCCTTATACTGCAACCTGCTGTCAGACCCTTATCTAGTGAGTCACATTTTTGTTCCCTGGATGGCAACACCAAGGTTTTGTTCTTTGCATTTAGATAATGGCATCAAGAAACTGCACACAGAATTCTAACAACATTAAGCAAGGCACAGTTTCACAGTCCCCTGTTTAGGGAGGGACTATTTTTTCAAAATCTGACAACCTCATGCCAAACAAAAACATCAAGGATAAAAACTAGGGGGGTTGAGGGAGGGTGGGGGTGGTGTTTGTTTTGGTTTCGCTGTTTGGGTTTGGTTTCTTGTTTTTGTTTAAATCAAAACCTGTTTCTGAGGGAGAAAATAATTATTCACCTCCACTACTACTTTTGGTATTTAAGAAAATAATTGGGATTACTTTGTGTCTTTTCCTTCCCCCATCTAGAGTTTCATAACTCATTTAATGTCACTTAGAGACTACAGAGACCATGTGTATTGAAGGAGAGTCAGTGAGAGAGCTGTAGAGAGGAGGGGAAAAAAGAAAAAAAATATTGACTGATTCTTCCATACCTGGAATTTCTCATCTCCAGTGAGACGAGAGAGCTCCCTAAACTCCAGCTGAATACTGGTCACCTCTGCCACAGTGCTGTCAGATGTCCAACGAGGCGGATGCGCAGTGCCCCGGCCAATGTTGACATCAGAATATGGTATCTTGGAGGGGGTCTTGAATGCTGGCATAAGCCTGTTCCCAATGTCTTTCTAAAGAAAACCCAAGAGCACAGGACAAAACAACAAACAAACCAAAAAATAAATATATACACACCCCACTTTAGATTTTCTTTCATCAAGCAGACAGAAAAAGAGAGAATAGCAGCTTAGTTTTAGATGCAGCAAGGAAGCCAAGAATTCAAAAGGGTCATCGATTTATTCATAGTAACGACTACAGAGTTTCTACATTGTTCCTGGTATTGCACGCCTCATTTGAGTCTGCAATCCCTATGCAATGTGATGTAATTCTGAAGTCATTGACTGCATCTAGCTAATCTAAAGAGGTGGCTGATGCTGTTAAGACACACAGAAAGGGCAACAAAAGACAACTATTACTCTTTGCCAACCATTTATTTCCTCTTTTGTTTCATGAACTTTATTATGGTCAGCTCTTCATCAACATAAGAGCAGGCATATAAGAATAGGTGATAAAACACAGCAAGGCTCTGAGGTGATCCAGGGCACAAAAAGAAGCACAGGCTTAAGAGATTAACGGTAAATCCCTTTCCCACCACTTTAAATACAAAACTGTTAAAACTTTAATACAAAATACAAAACTTTTAACTTTCTGGTGACTCCTCCCTCAACTTTGTCCATTATGGAATACATAATCCAGTTTCAATTTGTAAGACTAGTCACTCACAGCTTTTTCCAGGAAGAGGCTATCTCCAGAGAGATGGTAGGTGCTCAGCAAGCCCCCCAGGATACGAATAGTGCTCTCAAAGAGGTTCACGTCCACATTTTTATCAAATACTAAATCGTTTGCTACCCATTTTCTTGCTTCTTCAAACTCTGCAAAGTATAAACAGTACTTCAGTTATGAACTTCTGGCATGTTCCAACAACTAGACTAGAGACATTGGTAGTCCATATATCCATGACAGTTACTTATATCTGTCTACAGAGATCATAATTTTAGGTGGAAAACTAAAATGAAGAGCACATGCTGGGAGAAGTTTGACTACTATTGGCTTAATTCTTATTCAGCATACACCACAGATGCATACAGACAGAAATACCCAGCAAAATAAAAAGTTCTTAATAGTCTAAAAAAAAAAATAATTGAGGAATTCTTTATTAAAATAGTCCAGAAATTGAGATCTTTTAAGTTCATCCACTTGACTTGTCAGACAATTAGTTACACTTCCACAAGAGCCTTCTGAACTTTTTAATCAAATATTTTTAAACTAAAGCTGTTATCTACCAAGGTAACAGATAACATTTTCAATTAACAGCCATTAATGCCTTTAGTTTAACAATGTCCAGGGGAGTCTGCCTCCTACTTCAGCATTTAACCCATAAAATCCCAACAGTCTGCAAGTTTTTCCTCCAGAAACAAAAATGATTTTTTATCACACTACTAATTCAAAAAGGAATGTAAAAAAAAGGTATTTTAGATTCAACAGTCAGCTTAGCAGCAGCATCACTCAATGATTGCTTTTGCACAGGGTCTAACTCCATGGTGCATGTGAGTTAGCACAGTTTGAGGCGTGAGCTATCTCACACCTTCCAGAAACTTCTACTTGTGAGCAGGCGCAGAAGAACAATCAGTTTCCCAGAAATGGAAGGTATTCCACAGGAGATAAACTCTAAAGCAAAAGGATGCCTCTGTGTCCTGATGAGAAAAAAACGTCTTGGATGTTAGGTAAAATACTGGATGTTGGGTAGACTGAGAAGAACCACAGAAAAATCTCTGCTGTCAGATGTTAGCACTATCTAGCAGTACAACAGAAAAGGTAAGGTCCTCTTTCACAGAAGCATTAGCATCCATCAGCTTATAAGAAAGACTGGCAACCTCAAACAGAACTTCCATTTATATGGCATTTGTTATTCAGAAGAAACCCCAGGAGCTAAGGCAATCAGCAAAAGAACTGCTATAAAATATGCAGAAGCCTTCACCAAGAACCCGTTTTCAACACATCTAAATTACTAATAATTTATTTTAAAAGCTCTATGCAGTTCACAATTAATTTTTTATGAAAAAAAAGCAGCACACTGTCAACTTGATGAAACTTCAAGATAGCCTGCTCAGGCCTAGAGCGGCAGACACATGATACGGAGTTTTTGTTTCATTTAATATTTTACACAAACTTCAAAGGTAGAAGAGACAGAACCATGAAAGACTGACTGTTTATTGTCGCCTTACTAGCAGCTCTGTTCTTCCTATCTTGACATAAAAAAGTGCCTGATAAAAGTTTACAAAGGTGGCTATCTACCAAGGTTAAATAGATTGAGTTCCAGAAAATTTTAAATACCACTAAAAAAACCCCTGCACCGCAAAAAACAATCAAACAACAAAAAAATCTGCCTCTTAAATACTGATTAAGCAAGTTTTCTGCAACAGAATTGCAGAATTTTCAGCTTAGTTTTAAAAATCTGTTTGAAAGTTTTCTAACATAGTCACTTCCAGAATAACTGTGAAAAAATACAGACAGCAGAGCAGTTCAGAAAGGAGGTATTGAACACTCTCCTTCTTCATCCATTGATTCCTTACAGAAACAACACTCTTAAATCCAGATACGAAATATTGATATTAGGTGTGATAAAAGACAAGCTAGGAGCTTACAGGCTAACTACCCAAGACTGAGGGATAGAAAGTCTACAGTTGCTGTATAGTGGCATAAAGATAGCACTAGGGTTTTAATAGAGAAACAAAAGTCATGAGGTTTATTAATACATTCCTCAGTTTCTAGCAGATATATCCATGGTTACACGTAACAGCAGAATACTTTTTTCTGACTCAAAATTCTGTTCAAAGAAAAATGGTGTCCTTTAAGATAGTTGAGGAGTTTTTTTAGCATTTATTTTTATACATTGTGTGTGTGTGTGTGTATGTATGTATATATGTATTTAACCTCACAGGAAAACTAAACTTGCTGGCCACATGTCACAAATGTTCCCCTCAAAGAACTCTGAACATGTACTGCCTGAATAGAAAATAAGGAATTATTTTACAGGGAAAAAACAGAGGAGGAAAAAAAACCACCTTCTTTTAAGCCTAAAATCCACATGGTATCCAAGGCATCAATTAAGGTAAGCCCAAGTCCAAACCACTCGCTATAGGACTTGGACAAAGGCTTCAGCTCATCATGGCCCCAGGCAAAATCCTTGTATCCTTTCCAGGCATGGCGGAATGCTTCTATCACAGCCATCTGACGTTCGTTTATGGGCACTGCAAAAGGAAAACAGCACCTTGCTCAAGACTTCTGCAGGGGAGTTATGCAGCTATATCAAACACCATTTTGCTGCATTCTACCGAAAATAAACTTTCTTCCAAACTAAATGATCAGTGTAATGGAAAAAAACATCCTCAGATTATTCTTTTCAGTACAGCCTTTCCTCTGCAGAAAAACCAGTCAGTGTTTCTGGTCAACAATTCAGTCAGGTGGAAACAGAGATCTCTCCCTGGCAAAAAAAAAAAAGTCACTTTTGCAAATAAAACATTAAAATAATTACATGCACAATTGTTAGACGAGTATCACTAAAGCTCAAAGGCCTGAAAGTCAGGAAACACCAGAATTAAGATTGCTTAAATCAACTGTAGTTCAGCTGCTGAATACATATGTTTAAGAATACAATCCTCGGCTAATTTATCACATACCATTTTTAATTCATCTTCCCTGTCTTATTCATTGTTTTCTGCTAAATTTAAAATCAGTTACACAAAATTATTTCTCTTGAACTTTTCATTTAGTACAAAAAAGGAAGAAAATTTACATTTTCCACCTTGGGCAAAGCCATGTCTTTTTCCATAGTTTTACTGAAATTTTTGCTCGCAATTTGCCATAAAGTTGAGTTTATGTTACACATTCAACATGAAAAAGTTCAAGCTCATTAGTTGAAATTTTGCAAAATTATAAACAAAGATTTCTAGAGAGCGAAACAGCAAGGAGCATAACTAACCCCATATATATTAAGCTAGCAAAAGCCAAATGCACCACATTGTAATATGCCACATTTATCATCAGAAGTGCCTCATATGAACCCAGAAAGCAGAACAACAGGTTCTTTACTCCACAAAGATACAGCAACTGCAAAAACAACTTCTACAGCTTTCTGGTGAGTCTTAAAAATAGTTCAGTCTAATTCAGGAAAGAAGTCACTTTCCCTGTATCTGCTGAATAAAAGGAAAACCACTGCTGAAAAAGGAAGCTGTCCCTTTCAAGCCCGCTCTCTTTAGCCTATCCCTTCCTGGAGAAAAGATGGGAAGTCTGCCTCCTCCCAGAGGCTGTATTTCAAAGATTTGTCACCAAAATTTATTTTCAAATTCTGAAGGCTGTCATGGTGGAATAAGGACACTGAAAGGCTTGGATGTTCTAGGTAGATGATTTTTCCTACACTTTTTGTTTCCTTTAATTAAAATAAATAAGATGTATGTGTGGAGGAATTGAACAACTTCAACCATAACAGTGAAGAGAAATAAAGGTATCATTAACTGTACTATTTACCTGGTTCCTTCTGGTCTTCAGCTTCCACAGATGAAGGTTTTTCTGGTTCCTTTATTTTACTAGACGGAGGCTCAGTGCTTTGGTCAGGTTCTATCACTGCTCCTCTCCAGCTGCAAATACAAGGGACTGTAATTAAGACTTAATTTGATCACAGAAAGTCATGCAAATGAATGAGACTTATCTCTGTGTTTCCTTTTTCTCACAATACTTTGATAAACCAGGAGCTGGATTTTGTATCAAGGATCAAAATAACTATGTTGTCCACTACATTTTTTTTTCCCTGTTCAAAGAAAGAAATTTGCACCAGAGAAATTTTACTGGATTAAGAAATGTGTCTTACAGGTTCTTGGAATTTCATTAAGTATCTTGGCAATGGAATTTAATGAAGAACTTCTAAAAAGAATTAAAACACCTGAGAATGATGCATTAGAAGTATTTTGTTATCTACCAGTTCTGAAATGATCATAGGAACCACCAACACTAAATAGTACCACACAAAAGATGATCAAAAAATCATGAATAAGTGCAAAGGACTAGCCACTTGAAGTACTTGCTTTACTACAAAGGGTTCACAAGCCTTCCCTACCACCACAGATGCATAAATCGGTTTTTACAGGTTTTTATTAACAATCTCCTGAAGAAGTCTTTCAGAATGGACTTCAAGTCAAGTCAAGTTCATATCAAGATCAAACAATCTCAACCATGCTGTTCAATACATAGATATGTTGCCTTAGAGTTCATGATATGACTCCTAAGGGAACCAGGCTTACAGGACCTTTAAAGTTTATATTGTTTACAGTCAACATGTCTTATAACTTACATAAATCCCATACTTCCATTTCTTACTTTCATTCTTTAAATTTTTAACTAGTCTTCAGTATGCTTTCATTGCTCTCCTAAGTTTTCCTGTTATCATCCATTTACCTCTATGAGTTATAGCATAAGCACAGGAATAAAACACTTCAAGTCATTCCGAGAGATTTCACTTAATACCAAAATGCTGATGCAGGCACAGTTCTGATGCTATGATCAGCTCAGCTGTGCCAGTGCTGAAAAGGATATAAACATATAAAAAAACCCCAAGCCTATTGTTCCACGTCTTAAGAACCTCTGCTGAACTTGTAGTAGTCCTTTCTATATCCAAGTTACATCCTTTCAGTTATTCCCAAATCAAAAAATTTCAATCAATAATATCTTAGGGAATAACTTAGTATAAATAGAATCATAACAGCATAGACTCCCTGTAAAAGATACTACTATATTTGTATAAGGGGTCTTTGAACCATATGATTAATCTTTTGTAAGAAAGGAGTAAGCATATCTTGTACAGTTACATGCACGCTACTACGCACACATCTGTGGCTTCTGCCAGTTCAACTTGGGCTTACTGTGTTTAGTGGCATCACACCCCTAACTAACGCTGATATTGGTATAATTTTCCAAGTCTGGCCCAGGACAAAGACACTTGTGAGACTATTATTGTATTGATCCTGGTACCTTAATATTCACTACAAAACAAACAGTGGAAACATACAGACACTGAGAATTCTCCTGAGCATTAAGAGTATCTAAGTGCATTAGAAATACAGACAGCCTTGTAGGGTTCCAAATCCTCTGCAGTTCTATGATGCAAATAGTAAAAACAGAAAAGCTGCACATTCATCAAAATCAAATAAATCAGCCCAGCAACATTGACAGCTGTCAGGTCAGAACTGAACACAAATATATGCAAAGAAAGAAATGAACCTCAGACAGAGACAACAAAAAGCCCTTACAATTTGCACTCCAACATTCAATGGATCTTGGCAGGGACAAGGCAGGAAGCACTGTAACTTGCTGGAAACTTTTCTACCTGATAATGGATTTCTCCGTTTTCTCTTCTTTATCAGCCTGGAGCGGCTCTTCTACAACCCTGATGGTATCATGTCGGGTCTTCAGCCTCACATCCCTCCGTGGTGGCTTGATCTGAAGATTAGAAGGACCACGCCGAACATGAGGCGGTTTTGGCGGCTTCTGAGAAAATAAAGAAAAAAAAATGTGCTTAGTATGTTGCAGAGATAGCAAAAATTCAAACCATTAATCAACAGCATTCCAGTGTTAAACGTAATTTCAGATAAATCTTATTTTGATATCGTATCAGCATGCAAGTTCCGCCCTGAATGGAAGGTATCCTAAAGACCTTGGGTTTTTGTTTGTTTTAAACTTTTGGTAAAATTATCCAGTTCTTAAGTTTACACTGATAAATTACTTTTAAACTACCTCTACTGCGATCAAATATTAATTTAACACAAGGCATTGCCAAAGGATTGTAAAGATATTTGATTCCATTTTACTAGGCACAGGAATTTTTTACTAGAATTAGCAAAAGGCACGCAGAAAACCAAAAAGCTTATACAATGCCAGTGTTAGATAATACCAAGAATTACTACACAGTAATACATGTACATTTGTGCATGATAAGGGAAAGATTTAATATAAAATCTCGCATTAACTGGAAATACCAAAATTCATGAGGTAAATACATGAAGAGCAACACAGTAAGCAGTATTGCTTTACTTCACTAATCCACAGTCAGTTCATGTTTCTTTGCCCTCACATCCCCCACAAATGTAACCCTTCAAAACCTACTAACATCTGTTGAGTTTGCTGCTATTTTTCAAGCTACCAGAAAAGCTATTCCAACTCAGCGCCAGGCTGACTGTATCCTACGTTTCATATTCAGCCATGACTCTCTTTAGGCTCCTCAAAACAGCAAGACTGACCTCCAGAGCACTCCAAGTCCAAACCAATTAATCATAGCAGGAAAGTGAGGCCTCAGGTAAGAAGTCACTGTGACCTAAAGTCCTGGCACTCCTAGGTATATCAGTGGTTAAGAAATTCTATACTGAACACTTAAATAAAAAAGATAAAGCCAGGAAATACTATACCAAAGCCCTTCCTGAGAGGGGAGCACTCCACCCAGAGCAGACTCTTATTACAGGTGACAACTCCCTTCTCCTCAACAACTGTTGGAATCAAGCACTATTTGCAACTTTCACAAACTCTCTGGTAGCTTTATAAAACTCATTTCTTCTCACAATACCTGCGGTGAAAGCTCTGGGTAGTCTCCAAGGTTGATGTCTGCTTTCTGGGGTGCTGGCAGAACGGCTGGATTTGCCAGCTTTAATCCAGGAATTTCTGGTTCTGTTCTCAGATCATCCAATGATTTGTTTGTTAGACCTAGACACATAAAACTGCTCAGCACAAGGAATCAACAGTTCAGGCTCCAGATAGAAATTTGTAACAGTTTGCTGCATTCCCATACTAGCTACACCTCCAAAAAGTGTTTCCATTCACAAAAACATTGATAAACACACACTAATTGTTAGATACAAAGTGTCCTTTGGTATTAACACTCTCCCTAATATACAAGGAGGCTGCTAAAAGGTACGTGCTTTTTTTTAATTGCTATTATTTTAGCTTCTCAAAACAGGCAGTAAGATAGTATTAAATGTAAATGTGCCTTCGTATTGTAGAAAAGATTAGAATTTCTAATCTGAAGGACAATCAAAACCAAGAGAGGATTATCGTATTCTACTGTCTAGGTTTGGGTTACCAATATCTACATACAAACCTAATAAAAAAACCACTCACAGCCTCCAAATCTTAATCAACTAAAACAAAACATTGCTCTAGTCAAGATAAATAATGAAAAGGCATATGAAAAATATTTCTGATTAAGCAGAAACAAGTCATTGAAACATGTCACATAAAATCAACTCAGAACTGTACTTTAATGGATACACCCAGTCATTGTCAGAAAAATTAACGCTACTTATAAGAACTACAGCAGTCTTTTAAATATAACACCACATTCCAGTAATTCTGAGCTATATAGAACACATACTTTTCCACGGTTCCCCAATGCTTGTGTATGAAATGACTCCACAAACTGCCAAGAAGGCAAACAGGAAGAGAATTACGCTTCGCTGTAGTCGCGACAGCTGCTTCCATTTCTTTAGGAGAGAAAATATGTAAGAGGAATAATATTTAGCACAACGTTAAGAGTCTACTCAGTGAAAAATAAACTCTTACCGGTTCATTCAGAGCAAGAAACACAAAACTGAGTAGGTTTAATTTTACCCTCTGTTTCCAACTGCAGGCATCCATTGCTTATTTTCTTTGATGACAGAGAAAACAGAAATATAACATGGTAGCATATGGTACAGCAGGCTCAGAAAAACATCAGAGTCACTTGCTGCGAGAACCTCAGAGGATGTTAAGTGCCAAGATTGCCAGCAAGCATCACCTACGGCATGCTGACTTTCATCACAACCTTTGCTGGCTGACCTGCACATCTGCCCAGATGCCAACTAGGAAATAAGCCAAAAGCCTCTTTCCTCCCTTCTGCCTGGGGAGGTGCTGCAGAACACACATGCAAAACAAGAAACAGAAGAAAGTGGTAGGAAAACTAAAAGTGTTACTGCAGCAAAGAAGAAAAGCTCAAAATAAGGTAAGCACAGTCATAGGACAAGAAAAGCCAGGCATCCTGCCTCTGACAAACATATGTGGAACCGTCACACAGAACAGGTCCTGCCACCACAAGTACAGTCACCAACCTGCAGCAACATGAAAATTAAGTAAACCAACAGAACAACTAACAAGACAAAACCACCATGTTTACAAGTTTAGTCCTGGGCAAAAATGTGTTTTTAAAACTGAAGTATATACAACAAAATCACTAAAAGTCAGTCAGCAAATGTTACATTAGCCTACGAGAGGTTTCCTCCATTTAGAGAGAAAGCAGTTGGAGTTAATGTTTAACTGCTAAATTACCATTTTGTTAGTTTTCTAACAGTCCTGTCAAAATTCACCAGAGCAGCATTTTGCTTCTAATTATTGTTTTTTCCATACAGCAAGGGTGCTTCAGTGCCAATGCTATACTTTGGAACAGCCTGCAGTTTCCTCCAAATCACTCTATGCTCCACAGCACTTCCCATAGTCCTCAACCTCTTAATAACAACCAGAGGCTGCAAACGTTTCAGTGAAGAACTGTCAACGTGCTCACCTTGCCAAGCCCCACAGCACACATTTCCTGTTTTCCACACACACTGCTGACAGTACAGTAATCCTGTACACCCTTCCCTACAAACACCACAAGATGATGATCCCACTCCTCCATCTTCGGCTCTACCTGCATGGCAAACCGTATCATCATCTTCCAGTTGCAGAAGGATGCTTGAAACTCAGCAGCCCTGTGTTTCCTCAGGGTAGGATGGGAAAACAGGCATTGACTGTGGGTCTTGGGATGGGGAGGAATGAGGCACAAGAATACATGAGGGCATTCACCATCATTCCACTTTTTTTTTCTGACAAAGAATAAGGATAAAAGGAAGGGTGAAATATCTTGTACCCTATCCCCACATTTCCCTAGCTGTTAATATAGAGAAGCTGCCATACTGTGTCCGTAAACAAGTTCTTCATATGCTTCATCTGACCACCTGTAAAGCCTCTATAGGTGGCTATACCTCATCCCATACCTGCAACCCAGGTTGTCCCTTTCACTTCCACCCTGCCTCACCAGCCCAAGACTCCCGCCCCTGGTAAAGCTGCCTGCCCACTCCCTACTCCCAAGCAGACATGAAGGTTACTTCCACACAGTTCTGCTGCAGAACCCTCTTCTCACACCAAGCCTTCCCACAGGAAGCAGAACCGTTCCCTTTCCTCTCCTAGGGCAGAGGACAGGGCTTCCCCTTCAAGCCCTAAAGTAGGAAGCAAAGGCACCAAGACCAAATCTCATCCCACCACCACTCCTGCCTAGGGAGCACAGTGTTGTCCCTCAAATCCTCACTAGCAGAGGGCAGGATTCCCCTCAAACGCACACCATAGTCCCCGCCCCAGCTTTGTCCACAAAAATTAAGATATGACGTATAACACACTGAATCAGCCTGCACTCCACAAACCCCTACCAGGTCGGGAGCTGCCACCTGAACACTGCTGAGAGCAGAACCCGAGAGCAGCCCGGAGCCAAGCCCAGGTCATCCCCATGGTCAAGTGTCCACAGCTTAGGCCCTCTCCCCAGCTCGGAATGGGGGGGTCCCAAGCCAGGACCTCCAACACACAGTCCAGCTGCACCCAAGCACACAGACACCCCTCATCGTCCATTCCCTACAGCCCGTCCCTCCCAGCCCAACAGGGCTCCCTCATTGCCACGTGCCCCCCGCACCCAGCTCGGGGGTACCC